ATACTAACTGAAGAGCCCTTTGATGCATAACTACTGCATATACAATCTTCCGGTAAAGGAGATCCTCTTTTCTAGGACTAGGAATCATTAATACATTTTTCTCGATTGTGTTTTCTATTCGATAACTGTGTAAATCTCTACTTAAATATACTTTAACATTAAAAGAACTTAAGGAAGAATATTTATATATCTCACATTACCTTGCTATTTTAAATAGTGCACATGCGTGCATCATGTACATTACAATTAATAAAAGAATGCCGATCAATAAGATTGTTCCTATTATGCCAGTTAGTAACTCGTGTAATACTATATAATAAATATATTTTTCTTCATTGACAAAATATTCCGTGATGGTCACAGAATGAAATTGCCGTGATTCGTTTAATGGTAATACAACATCAAGTATTAACGGCAACGATTCAAATATTATACAAAAAAATAGAGCAAAACAGGTAAACACTAAAATAATAACACTTAATACTTGACACTCAATTATTAATTAAAATAATTATTATTATAATTATATAATTAAAATAATTTACATTTGGAAACTTTAATTTGAATCAAATAACATGAATTTTTATTTCAAGATATTAAAAACATAAATATTAAAAACATTTTTACCTTATCCAATTTTTCTATCATAATAAAAAATAATTAGAAAAGATAATTATGTAATTATTATAAAATATTACAGTATTATTATAAAATATTAAATATTAATTATAAAATATATTATAGTAATTTATATTCTTACTCGTTATAGCTACTACGAATAGTCTCATGTCGTAAGCATATTCTTCTATAATACTAATTTCTAATTTATCCTTCAATGAATTCCAATCATCTTTGATTTGCTCCAATAATTGTTTTAACTATTTGTTAGGTATTTTAATTTATTAATGATTGATAGAATACAATTTATCTAATATATGTTGCAATTAAATATTCAAATAAGTAATTTTTCTTAATAAGCTTACGTCATCTGCCTGAATGATCAAAATAATATATTTTATTATGATGTACATAGGAGGAAAGACAAATGTGATAATCTCAAAAAAAAGATTTGCGTCATATTGCCTTGTAACAAATGCCAGCAGCTAGAAACAATTTAGAATATACATATTTTAAAACATATAATATAATATAATAATATAGTATAATAATATAATATAATAATATAATATAATAATATAATATAATATAATATAATATAATAATTATAATTTCTATGTAGCAAAATATATCTCGTACATAGTGAAATACATTTCATTTTAATAGAGAGGTAAGATTATTTCATTTATAAACAGTTATATAAAAAAAACTATATAAACTATTATTAAAATATTGTATATTATATTAGAAGAACAAAATGAAAAGATATTAGTAAAAAAAAGGTATAAAATGTATATTTAAAGAATTTCAGTGATTAATTATTTTCAAAAAATTTATATAAATATGGCCCAACGTACCTGAGCAATAATAAATGTCAATAAAATACTAGCAAACACTAAATTGTGTAGCCGTGTGAGATATGACTGTTGATAAGGCCATAGGCCAAGTATTTTAAAAATAATACGATAGATCTTGTAATAGCGCTCGTGGAGCGCATGCGTCTTGCACGAGAACTGCGACATTATATGAAAGAAATCTTTAAATGATCGCATTATATTATTCGAAATTTTGTCAATTTAAAGTGATGTATATACATTCATGATGATATAGAATTGTACAAAAAAGTCGATTATATTTTTTCAATAAGATCATGTATTCATAATATAGCTAAAGTAAATTACTTTGAATTACAGCAATTTGTAATTGAGAATAATATTTCCTTACTATATTTGCTGACCAAGCAT